AATGCCTGAGCAAGCTCAAAGGCAGGTACTCTACAAACACAACCTTCTTGTGTAGCTCCTTGTTTCTACACCAGTAACCATCTTTCAGTTGTTCTTTCTTTGGTGTCTGTGCTAATCAAAAAACACAAGCTGAAGAATTGTGAAGTCTTGCAATACACAAAGCAGTCTTGGTTTTAAAATCCATGCTGTTGGAGCATAATTTAAATGGTGTATTTATCAGTTTTAAATGTCATTTTGCTTTTCCAGTCTTTTGTATATGGGCACAATACTTTTTGTAAATTTTTTTTTATTTAGTTGTCTTTCATGTCTTTTCTTTCTGGTACTGGAAGATTTGAACTCTCTGGGTTTTCATGGTACTCTTCTGATCATTCTTCATAGTGGTAAAAGTCTGTATTTTTGTATGTAGGAGAAATGGAAGTTTTCTAACACTTATCCCAATCAATATAGTACGGAATCATTTGTGAAGGACTTCCTGTTTAATAAATGGACATATTAAAGTACTAAAAGAGTGTCTTCATCTCTGAACATGGCCTGGGCTGGGGTAATTTTCTTCCAGTGGCTGGTGTGGAGCTGTTTTGGATGTGTGTTGGTAATTCAGAGGTGTTTTTGTTAATGCTGAGCAAAGGCTTTTCCTGCCCCTTGTGGGCTGGGGGTGCCTGGGAGGCTGAGGGGACACAGCCAGGACAGATGGCCCCAGCTGACCACAGGGGCATCCCACGCCTTATGGCATCAGCATATGAAGGTGGAAGGAGGAAGGGGTTTGGAGTGATGGAGTTTGTCTTCCCAAGTCACCCTTCCACGGGATGTGGGAGGTGCTGAACACGTGCCTGCCCATGGGAATTGATTCCTTGTTTTGCTTTGCTTGCGTGCACAGCTTTTGCTTTCCCCGTGAAATTGTCTTTATCCTCCACAGGAGTTTTCTCACTTTTCCCCTCCCCATTCTCTGCCTGACCCCACTGGAGGAGAGCGAGCCCTGCCAGGGGCTTGGGGGGGTCCTGGGCTCAAAACAAAGCCAGGCAGCTGCCAAAGGCACTTTGTGTATGTGGGGAAACTCCCACCATGGCATTCCTGGCTGGGGCTGTCCCTGGGACCCTCCTGGGGGCAGGAGAAGCCAGGGGAGAGCCTTGGGGAGAGGCAGTGGAGCAGAGGGAACGATGGAGCAGAGGGAAGTGGAACTGCTCTCAGGCTGGGGGTGGGATTGCTCTTGGAGCAGTTCTGGTGTGCTGCCATGGACTGCCGTGCTCCATCCTGGGGTCTGCAGCTGCCCTTTTGGGGCTGGAAAGGGAGTTTGGGGCTGAAGTGCCCCAGGGAGTGGGGAACGCTCTGCTGCCTCTCGGGCTGGGGCTGCAAGTGATGCTGGGGGGGTTTTGGTTTCCAGGTGCTTCAGGCACGAGGTGGAGGCACTGAGTCAGTGCAGGTGAGAACTGTGGAGAGGCACCAGGGATGGGCGAGTCTGGGATTTGGGAATGTGGGAATGTGGCTGCAGCACTCCCAACACTGGGGAGGGGGACACAGGGGGTGGCACAAGGGAAGGATTCCCTGAGGAGCCAGAGGCTCTTACAAGGGGCCAGTTCATTTTCCCTGTGTGGGGATGTCAGCAGCACTGTGCATTACCCAGGGTGGCATCCATGGTGCTCCTGGGGCAGGAGAAGCTTCATCAGCTGTCAGATTTCAAAAAAATAAATAAAATAAACAAAAATTGTCTGACTTTTAGTTACTGGATCTTCCTTCAGTCTCCCAGGAAGACTGTAATTAATTTATTCATGGATCAGGCTGACAAAATGTGATGAGCTGTGTCCAAAATCCATAAAAGAAAAGGACAAGTATTTCCTGGTGAAAATTAACATTGGAATCTATTTTCCTCTTCACGGAAGTGGATTTAAAATTTGACTTATTTAAAAAAAAATCAAAACCAAACAATCAACAAAACCCCACAAAAGCAATAGCAATAAAAAAACCAAACCAAAACCAAATCCCACCAACCAAAAAAAAACCTAACAACCCCAACCTCCATCCAAACTCCCTCACCAGAGCCCCAAACAAAACCACACTTAAATTTTAAATTTTCTGGGTAGCACTGTTTTACTTTCTGGCCTGGAAGCTTTACAGAACACTGAACACTGAATTCTCCCAGTAAAGGAGTGTCCTAGGGTGACTGTCTGTGTTGCAGTGTGGATTTGTTGATGCACTCCTGTTTATTTATTCCTGATATTTAAAGATGCTTTTAAGCCAATACTCCACGCAAAAAGGTGTCTCAAGCATTTTGGAATGCTTGAGATTTACATTCTCAGTGCTTACCTAAATTTCCTGTGCTTCCTTGATGCATCCTCTCTGAGGATTAAAGGAGGGCCAGGTGGGGCTGCCCTGCACATGTGGCATTTGGGCTGTTTGTATCCTGGTGCAAATCTGGAGTGAAGCCACTCAATGATTTATTATTTCTGACCAGAACTGTGCCCAATGAACTTCCTCAGAAGGACAATGAGTGGAGCCAGGAGCATCCAGCTGTGCTCTGCTTTCCAGCACAGCAAGCTGCTCTCCACCACCACAGCAGCTGAGGTGCTCTGCTCTTCCCTGGTGTCCTGGGAGTGACTCTGCCAGATGGAAACTGAAGACTTGAGGAACTTCAAACAGCATCAAGTGAAAAGCAACAGTTAGGTAATGGACAGTGTTCAAAGGATAACAGAGCCTCCTACTTCAGTCAGAATCTAAACCAGCTACTTGGAAAGGTATTTGAATTCCTTGGAAAGGTCTTTTGAACTCTTTAGTGTCACCTTTCCAAAAATCACTGCACAAGTCTGAATGAGTCCACAGGTAAATGGAAAAGCTTGGTAGGAGGGAGAGAGCCCTCCAGGCAGGTGAGAGCTGTGTGAACTCACCTGAGGTGCCACTTTCCCTTCCTGTCCGTGGCTTTGAGCTCATGGAACTTCTGGCATTGATCCTACAGGGATTCATCCACACCTGGGGTTGGAGACTCCTCCTCAGGCAGACCCAGGAGCTCCAGGTGCTGCAGTGAGGGCAGGGATTGGGCTCTGGGGGCTTTGGAAGCAGCTCCTCCACGGGACACGAGTGATTGTGATTGCAAAGAGGTGTCTGAGGAGGCCATCAGCACTCAGTTGGGCTCCACACTGCAGGTGGGGTGTTGTGCTTGTCTCCTGAATTGCAGAGTGCTCCCAGCACCCTTTTGATGTTGTCAGTAGAGGAAAAACAAACAAACAAATAAAAAACCCAAAAAGCCAAGCTGACTTTTCCTTCATGTGCCCCAGAGCCTGAACTTGTGCAGTATTTGTGGCAGAGTATGGGCAGAAGACTGAGTCAGCCCCTTCCACCCCAATTCAAACTGGCTTTGAAGAAATAATTTTAAATCTAATTTTCTGAAATGACATCCCTAAGATACAGAACCATGTTTTCTTTCAGTCATGGGAACAGATATTTTTTAACAAAAAGCTGGGATCTTACAGAAGTGCTTGGCCCTGGGAACAAACTGCTTTGAAATAATCTGAGCCATCAAGGACTAAAAGCCTGTAAGGAAATTCTCTGGGCAGGCATTCACTGCAAGCTGCTAAAGCAGTCCTGAAGTAACTCATGAACATTTTGTTTGCTGCCTGTTTACTTTACACCAACATGGAACAAATGACCAGAAAACCTCAGTATATTTTGGGTGTGTAAGGATGAACCCAAAGGGGACTTTGCTGTTTACAGGGTTATTGGTTGCCAAGAGAGAGCACTGAATCCACAATGTCTACTCAATAGTTAGAACAAATTCCTGGTTAAATTTTTTCATCTCATGCCCTAAGGAAGAGGTTTGACCTGTGGCTGGTCCCCAGGGCTGGCTCTGAGCTGTGCCCCTTCCCCAGTACAGATTCAGGATTCCTGGAGCCACAGTCCCTTGTGCTGGGCAGAGGCAAAGCACCCAAATCAGGTAAGCAGGCAAAATCAGGTCTCCAAGTAAGTAAAGACACCCAACACTTCTATTAAAAGAAGTTTAATCCAGCATGGTTCTAAATATTAACCATGTCTCCAGCTGTGACATGCAGTACATTTTTTTACTTAAAAAAAAGAGAAATACAAAACAAGTACAAAAATGAGCCCAGGTCCCCTGAACATCACAGTGTGTGCCAGTAAAATATGACAAGAGAAGGGAGAGAAACACGGGGTATCATACAGGAAAAGGTTCAAAGAAATCTTCCTCATCAGTCAGAGATTGTCTGTCCCATTTAGAAGCAACCACTTGTTTTGCACTGACTCTGTCAGTGGTCAGAAGCAGGAGATGTAGGAGTGCCTGCTGGACAGCTCTGAGCCTGAGCAGCAGCCCTGGTCCCTGCCAGCTCCCCTGTCCTGCTGGCAGCTGCCACAGGGACCTGGAGCCCAGGTGCTGATTTTATTCCAAAGGAAATCTGCTTTCATTGTTTCAGCCCTGGTTTTCACTTACTCTGTTAGTACCATCTGCTCTCATTTTAATCACACCTGTTCTGGTACTGTATTCATTTTTAAAACATCCATGCAGGTTTCTTTGCCACAGACCTGTGTGATGCCACCTGTGAGGAGTGTGCCACGCTCTTCCCAAGCATTCCCAAGGGTTTATAAATGGACACAGATATTCCAGGGGAGGTTGTGCTACCTGTGAAAACAGCTTGTACATTCTGAGGGCTTTTTCCCTGGAATACACCACAAGATAAATCACATCCTTCCAGGGGAGAAAAACCAACCCACCCCACCCATCCACACTGAAAAAGGGGGCTGGGGAGATGAATTCATTGCAGACATTCTGTAGTTTGGGGTTGGTTTCTTGGCCTTTTCACAGTGGGGAGGGAGCACTGCCCTCCTGGGGCCTGGGTGCATTCAGTGTGGCAGCAGCAGTGGCCATGGCACAGAGCAGGACATCAGCACTGCTGCCTGGGGCACAAACTCCTGCAGGTTCCTCCAGGCAGGTGCTGCTGGAGGTATTTGCCAAGCCTGCCTTCCCTGGCTGTGCAAACACTCCCAGGGCCTCCACAAAAACAGGACAGGGCTGCCCAGAGCTGCCTCACCTGCTCACCCCACCCTGGGGTGGAATTGCAGCAGAGGGGATGTGACTCCATGCAAGCAGCTTAAAACAAGGGATACTGAGGGTTTGATGAGCCAGCTGCCCTGCAGCACCATTACACTTTGAGGTTTGTTCTTGCTGCAGATTTCCAGTTGTCACTTTTCCTTGTCACAGACAGGCAGGAGATACAAAGGCACTGAAACCAATGTTAACTGCACTCCTTGCCCTCAGTGCTTGGGAGTATTCAGACTGGATAAAGAAATACTGTTAATTAATCAAGAAAAATACAAACAGGCATCCAAACCTCTCCTCTTTGGCATGTCAAGAAGTATAAAAGCTCTAAGTGTTAAAGGTTTGGAATGATGAAAGCACATTAAAAGCTGTAAATGTTACAAATGCTGTTCCCACTTACTTGGGACATGGATGTGCTGGGTGGGGAGGGGCAACAGAGAATTGAGCTGTGTTGTTTGCACAGATCTGCTGTAGGATCTGTAGTTGCCAAGGAGTGTTCAATGGCACTGGGAGTAGTCTCCTTTTCCACATCACTGCCCTGTCTGTGCTCTGATGATTCCATAAACAGTGAAGTGGAAAGGGGCTGAAATGAGGGGATATTTCAATTGGCAGTGCATTCAGCAAAGAGGAAAGTGCTTGATCATCTTCCCTTCACGCTTGGTTGGTGTTTGGTTCTTCAGTCTGAGTCAGAGTCGGAGTCCTCATCTGAGGGGTGAAACAAGGAACAAGAGTGAAAATGCAAACTGGAAATCCCCCAGCTGTGGCTCTGGCTGGGACAGAGAGGCTGTGCTGACAGGGTGTGCCTCAAGGGACACAGCAGGGCTGGAATGAACACCTCTGTGAAATGACAGCTCTTGCTGAGGTGGTGGCACCTGAAATGGTGTTTGAAGGAGCTGGGAGATGCTGCTGAGAGGCCTTGCTGGCATCCTTGCTGCTCTGGGCACTGCTGTGTGCACCTCTGAGATGCTGAGCAACCCCAGCAGGCCCACAGAGCTCCATCCTTCTGGCCTCAGCACTCAGGAGCCCCTGAGTAAACACAAGTTGGGGCTGCAGGGCTCAGTCCTCCTTGCATGGCCACAAATAACAACACAAATCTGTGTGACTGCACTTCTGGGAGTTTATGTATTTGTGCCTCCATCTCCAGGGGAATTAGATCCTATCTGTATCCTAATTCTGCACCCTTGCCACCTGATCATCTTCTGAGGGCAGTTCAGGTTTTAGCTTTTACAGTCTATTTCTTGTTCCTTTTATTCTTTTTTCCCTTCGTCTTTCTTTTCAGCCTAAAGCTTGAAAAAACACTTAACAGTCTACTAAAATCCCCAGATGAGACAGTCAGTGCTGCTGTTCCCCTCCTAGGATTCCATACACACCTTGGGTGTTTGGCTTTTCAGGGGTTTTAGATGAGGTGTTTGGGGATATTTTTTATTTGTTTTTAAGTGTGGAGCAGTCTTCTTAATCCATGTGGGTGCAATAAGGAGTAACAGGGACATGATGCCCCATTTGGGCTCCTGAAAACTACAGAACGACTACCCCTGTCCTGGCCTGAACTGACTTTGAACACCCAACACCTTCTTTTTATCTTCTCCTAAGTGGATCTGTCTGATCTGAAGTAGAATAGAAAAAAAATTGATAGCAACCTTGTTAATTTTATGCTGTTAGACCCTTGGATTTTAAGGTCATTTGCCCACAGATGGTCAAAGATGATAAGAGGTAATCATGATAAGGAAATGATAAAGAGAAAAGCACTATTTGGACACAAAAAGCTGTGGATTAATGGATGTTAATTATAAGTTACAAAGAAAAAAAGGTAGAAGTTTCCTTGTTTTTACAACAAGACATTTTAATAGGGAAAGAAAATCTGTACTACATGGTGATTTCTAAAATTGGATCTAGGGCTTTTCAAAGTGAGATGTGAAACTCTGAGAAACTTCACATTCCTGGCTTGCAGGTTATCTTCATAAATCACTGGAATTCCATTTGCAGCTTCCTAACCGAGCAGAGCTGTGGCAGACAAACCAAGAATAGAAACTGCTCTTACTGAGCAAGAGCTCCTGCTCCCTGCAAAGGGTGAAATGGAGAGGGAAATCTCACCCTGCAGCTCGTGTGACAAGCAGGGAATTTCACCCACCTTCTGTCTTGTGCCCCTCGGGGGAATCGGAGCCGCCTTGCTTGAGGAAAGTGACCAGGTCATTGAAGGTGATGTAGAAATCAATGGCAAACACGATGGTGGCTGCAAACCCAAACACCTGAAAGGGCAAAATAATGCTGTCCTTAACAACAGCTCCAGACTGTCAGGGACAAACCAAACCCAACCAAACCCACACAGCAAAAACTCCATGGTGTTTTTGGCCTGTGCCTTTCCAAAAAGGCAGGGAGGAGAAATGGTTTGTGACACATTGGTGTCACCTGAATTACAGCTGCTCTGGGAGCCTGACAAGTGACCAGGGGTGTCTTTATCCCTGCCCCAGGCTGCAGCCCTCTTGGGCTCTGGGCACATTCTGGACATCAGCACCTCCTGCACCTCCACACTCCCAGGGCACCTCTGCCACCAAGGAATCACCTCCATTTCTTGGGAAATCATTTTCCACTTGTTTGCAAGGAGATGTGTCTATTGCTGAGTGAACTAGACAGATTAAATGATTCTGGAATTCTCTCTCCAGTGACAGAGCAGCAGAGTTGTGCCAAGCTGGGTGCTGGTCTAGGAGCCAGGGCTGAACACACTCCATTGCTCACTGCAGGGACAAAGATTAAACAAGGTTTGGGTTTGTATTGTGGGATGGTTTGGGAAGGGCTGCTGGCCCACACCACTGGGCACTGATCTTCCCAAGCTTAAAAATTGTTATGCAAATTTTATTTATGTTGCATACATTATTGATGCTTAGAGTCAAGTTGCAGATGCAGGGGCTGTATTGTATTTCTGTATTTCAAAATGCTGATGGGTGAAGGCTCTTTCCTGGGCAGTCCTTGTGCAGGAGGGTAAAATGACACTGCTCTTGTTTCAACTCATCCAACTAAAACTAAGCAGGAGAAGCAGGAGGTTGAAATTACTTAATTTAGACTGGCCCAAGCAGTTACAGGTTTGAGTTTTTTTTTAATAATAATAATAATAATAATAATAATAATAATAATAATAATTATTATTATTATTATTATTATTATTATTATTATTCTCTTCATTCAAGGATCTTGACACTCCTTGCAGGAGCAACTAGTAAAATTAAAAAGCAGAATAGGTGCCTTCCCTAAGGGTACAGTTAACACTGAGCAGCTCTGTTAGGGTGAAAATCTATTCATTACTTCGAGACATGTTTTTCTGAATAAGTGACCATTTCTTCTTTGCTTTAGGCAAATTAATTCTCAGTTAATTGAAGAAACGTCTATGACTTGCAGTGGGGTGATATTTGAACTGTTTATAAGTGCATCCATGCACTGAAGTGCACTCAGTTCAGCACAGCACCTAGGTGGAAAGCTGATGCCTACTCACCCCTGCTGCTTTCGATGCTCCATCGCCGTACTTGGAGACAGCAGCAATGGAAATGGCAAAGTAAATGATGGCAGCGGTGACACAGCGCACGAAATCCTGGGGAAGAAACAACGGTGCCCTCTCAGACTGGTCAAGGATTTCCTCTAAACCCATCCTGGGAACCAACACTCAGCCCCTCTGCTGTTGCATCAGTGCCTTTGCTGGCGTGTGAGCACAGCCTGGTTTGCTGTACAGGAGGAACTGCTCATCTGTGAAATAGTTCTAAATAAGAGAAGAGCTGAACCTTGGCAGAAACTTCTGCTTGTAAAGATGCTGGATAAATCCTGCTGCCACCCTGCCTGTGTCAGGCAGACCCTCCTTCAGCCTGGGGAGGGCTGTGTGGGGTGTTTGCCTTGGAGCACAGCAAGGGCTTTAATGGAAAGATCATTTGAAATGCCTTAAAAACCTCAAGTTTGAGCAGAACTGCTGTGGCCCCAGAGGCTCAGGAGGTCCCAGCTCTGTGGGAACAGGTGCCTGTCTCTCTGTGGGTGCAGGGCTGTGTGGTGATCTCCAGGGAGAGCTGTCTGTGCAACTCCTCATTCAGGAACCAAACCCTTGGTTCAGTGCTGGAATGGTTTGTACTTCTCATGTCCACCAGCCTGCCCCGGGAGCCCGTGCCTGGTGTGACCCCTGGGACTTGTCCTGCTGGGCTGTGCCCTGTCACACCAGCAGGGACATCTCTGCAGTGAGCTCTAAACACAGAGCTGTGTCCAGGGTATGTCCAAATCATGAGGGCTGCAACAATGGCACCCTCAGCTCTGTTCACAATTAGCTCTTCTGCTTTTCCAGAACACATGGAGGAGTAAGATTTGTCTCAAAGCACAAATCCTGCAAGAAACCTGACTCCTCTGAAGTCAGGACAAGGTCAGTTATCTACCCTGTGTGCCTGCAATATGTTATGGTAATGGCCATAACAAACACACAAGTGCCTTTTTTGTCTTAGTTCTGGAACCAGATGCATGTAGAAAATGGGAAAATGATGGAACAGAGATTACCAGCTCAGAGCTGTGCACAGTCATAGCCAAAGTCACTGATATTGTTTTATCCACCAGTGGCCTTGCTGAAGTTATTTTTATACACTGAGAGCTCAAATTCAAATCTCAGTGCAATGAACTACTGATGGTACCAAAAGAGAATCGAGATTGATGAGATCAGCAGGGTTTTTTGAAGTATTAGTAAAGGCAGCTGCTCCCTTTGCAGTGATATTTGAGACTGCAGGGCCATCCAGTGGCCAGGGCTCTCCTGCAGCCCCAGCACTGCCCCAGCAGCCACTGGGCTCCTTTGTGAGCATGAACCGGCCAGAGCTGCCCCTTCCCAGAGCAGCTCAGATTGTCTGTGGGTGTAACTCTGCCCGAGAATTCAATCACAGCCTGACAAAGTCTGCCCACTATCAACAACACACCTGCTTCCCCCTCTGCAAGGGTGGCAGTAAGGAGCCCCCAGCAGGCAGACTTGGGCTGATGCTGGCCCTAAGCCATCTGCCTGGAATTGGGCATACAATCTGTGCTTTGATAAAGCCATGCCCTGTGTCAGCACTCAAAAAGCTGCCGTGCAGAGCAGAGCACAGCTTAGAGTGCTCTGGGACCTTCTGAAGCAGAGGCAGCAGGGACAAGTTTCTGAGAGGGCAGTAAAACTGTTCCAGTCACCCTGAACTCCTGCCCAGCCACCTTCCCTCCCCTCTCACTGCACAATTAAATCTGAAGGTTTCTGTTGCACATCTCACTTACCGCCAAAGGCCAGTGGACTCCTTTAAACTTCTCATTAAGCCTGGAGGCGTAGGCAAAAAAAAGAAACAGTGCCAGCAGAAACTCTAGGAGTGGTGCCATCATGAAAGAAGCTGCTAGAGATGCAATATAGCAGATAAAGATGATAAATGACAGCACCTAAAGTAGAGGGAAAACTCGAAATTATTTGCATGGAACAGCAGAGCCGTAGGCAGCTGAGCAGCTTTGAAGTGTTATTTTCCCTGTGTATTTCTGTCAGGGCTGCTGCTGCTGCTGGCATAGCTTCAGCATCCTACTTTTTTTATTTCTCATTGGGCCAAATGATTTTTGTTGTTGAGCACAGAATAAATCTGAAGTAAGGGTGTTTATTTCCACGTGTGTGAAATCGCTTTTCCGGAGCGCTGCGTGGATTTGCACCTCTCCAAGTCAGTAATTTGCTCTGGATTGTAAACAGCTCTGACAACATAATTCTGAAAATAGAGTGGGGTGTTGCCAAGCAAGCAGAGCTCTGAGCTTTCAGCTGTGACAGCTCTCATTTGAAACCCAAATCAGTGCTCAGACAGCCTGAAGTAACTCAGCATGTATAATCTTGGAGTTGAAAGAATAAAGTCTGCTGCTGATGGATAGAAAAGGGCCAAGAATTAATTGTTCTGTGACTTCTGGAAGTGTCTGGTTCCAGTTTTCCAGCGTGGCAGCTGTTTTAGAGAGTAATAGGACAGATAACTCCCATAGATTTCTTTTATCTCCATAATGTTTCCTAACTCTAGTAAATTATGAAAAATGGCATTTTTTCCACACTCAATTGAAATACCTTTAGAATATGGTTCAAAATAGAAAGTTTCACAACGGGAAAACAACTGAAGAAAATGCATTTTCACTTAAACCAGGCAGGTACCAGGGTGCTGTCCTACACTCCTGGACTGTGTTTGTATAAGTGGATGGTGAGGGAGCCATGGAGAAGCTCAAGACCATTTTCAGTTGCTGTACTGGGGGTTGGTCACCTCCAAAAAGAGGCTCCAGTCCCTCCTGTTTCACTGCCTTGCATGGGAACTGGCTGCTGCTTCAATCAAATTAGCCTGAAGTAACAAAAGTAGGCAGGATGCTGAATTACACATTATTATGTGCCAGTTTGCACCTGGGCTGCTCTGACCAGCCTTTCCTCCTGGACACAAATCTCTGCCTTCCAAAAGCTCAGGGATGCTTTCGGTCAGCACAGACTGAGCAGCAGATCACAAAGATTTTTTTAACTTATAATTCCAAATCAAGAGACTGACATTCCCACTCACACAGCACTGAAAATAAATGGATTCTTTTCCCCCAGATGCATCTAAAGGCAGATGTAGCTTCCTGCAAAGGTAATCAATGCATTTGCCTCATTAAATTTCAGCTCTGTGGATTTCCTTGTTTGCTGCTACCATAGGTTCTTGGGGACCACCTGAACAGAAAAAATCATCATTACACTTGACTGATATGGCTCCTATAATTATTAATTGGTAATTACTCCTATGAGAGGTCATTCAACCCTCAAACACATGTATCAAAAAAACCCTTTTATGTTTAGGGGACAACTGAGCAGTTCAATTCCACTGAAATAATTTCTTGGTGTAATTAATTACCAAGCCTTTATTCTCAGCCTGTGTTTTGGGGAAAGCAGTCAGTGCCTGAGCAGGATGCTAACAGCTGGAACAAACTGTTTTCATCCATTGGGACTGACTGGTGAGGCTAGAGAGGATGTGACATTTTTAGTAAGGGACTATATTTATCTTGCAGGTCTATGCATTGTTCTTGTTTCACTGGTTCTAAGAAACCGAGCTGGGATAGTTTACAGAGCTCATTTCTGCATGGGCCTGCTAGCTGGTAATATCTGCCCCTTTGTTCATGTCTACCCCATTCTGAGGTGTTTACTGCTCACAAAGCCTCTCTGCAGGTTTTTCTTATTTTCATAAAGTGGAGGGAGTTCATTCCCTGTATCTCATCCTCAGTGTAGTATTTTCTTCCTATGAGCTGAAAGTGCTAAGAACTCTTTAAAGGGAAGTGGATTTATCAGAGCTTGACAACTCCTCAGAGGAGAGAGAACTTCCTTCTTCCCATCACAGCACCTATTCCCTTCCCACCCCAAAGAACAAACTGCACTTGCTTTGTGCATCTGCTTCACTTGCATTTCTGGAACACAATTTAGACACAGTTCTATGTCTTTTTGGAATAAAAAGTAATCACCATCCATACATGACATTTTCTTTTTGTTCTGGTGTTGAAAAAGTACCTTCCTTTTTGTGGCTAAAGGCAGTGTGTGATGGCTGAGCAGCACAGGTGATGGGTTCAGGGCAGGTCCCACTGACCACAACCCTTCCAATGGCAGATCTTAGACTTGAACTAAACCTAGTGATCTCTTAAGAGAGGATTAAATGCAGTGTTAAATAACCCATCCTACTGAAGCAGTGAGGGAGGCAGAGAGGCAAGTTTCAGATCTGTAGGTGATGCTGCACAGCAGAGATGCCTTTGATCTCCATTCTCTTTGCTCAGTAACTCCTGGGCTCTGACTGCTTTTGCACTGAGAAAAAAGCTTTCCTGACGAAGTGTGAAGTGAAAGGAAGAGCCTCTGTGGTCTGCTCTTATCAGCTTTATGGCAATTTGTGCCAGGGAAGGCTCCTGCTGTCTCCTTTCAGCCCTGGGCAGGCGTGAGGATCAGACTCAGGGTGAAAGAGGAGCAGGAACACACCAAGGAGCCCCTGATCCCAGGGGCTGGGGTGCCAGGGGATCCCTGCTTCTGTGCCAGGGAGGCTGAAGAGACACATCAGTCTGAGCATTTCAACCTTCCAAATGGGTCTGACCCATTATTAGTTGTTTATTTTAAAATTTGGCTCCCAGTCACTTCAAAGCAAGCCCTGCATGGGTGGTGGATGACAGCAGTGTCCTGCTGCCTGCTCCTCAGCCCTCAGGGTCAGGCACTGCATTCCCACCTTCCCACCCTGTGCTGGGATTCACTCCAGCCTGTCCTGCTCTCCACTTGGCAGCAGCCCCTTGTGGGGAGAACTGCACCTCCAGGCACACTAAAAAAAAAAGGCACCTTTGATTCACAAGAACCCATTGATTTCAGTAGATTACTGATGGTATTAGTAAAGGGGAAAGACTCTGAAGACTGGAAACTGGTCTGCAGTTAAACATCATACCTCATTCTGGAGGCACTCGAGATTTTATGTGAAATAAAAGTCTAAAAAAGAACAGACCAGATTTTGAGAATGAAGATTTGAAAGATGGTATTTTTAGATGCCTTCACTGGGGGAAGGCTGGAAGGCACAGGAAGGGGAGGGAGGCAGATCTTGGAAAGAGCCAGAGGATCAGGAGGAAGGAGGTGCCTGAGGTGATGACCATGGCACTGCACCTTGGTACTGCACCTCACTCTGGTTTTCTTCTTTTCTGTCTCCTGGCAATGCCCTGACATGGATTTCAATGCCAAACTTCCCTGGTAGCTTGGGAACAGCCCTGTGTAATACAAGAGCCCACAAATTGTAGGGTTTTGATGATGTTTCTCATTTCCTCTTCTGACAGCTGGAACGCACAGCTGTGGGCACCTGGAGCAATACTGGATTATTACCTATAACTGTCTTTTCTCAATTACAGAAGTCAGCAGGTGCCTTTTCTGACCATTTAAGTGCACTGCTACTAACTCAAGCATTTGATGTTATCTTAAAATTTTAAAAATACACCTCCCCTCCCACAATACAAACACTGCAGTACCAGTCTGCACTCAGAAATAATGACACCTACCTACATACTTTTCCAGACTTCAAGCCCTCGTGAAAAACATCTTGCAAACTGAAAGGTGCTCTAAAAACTCAACAGCACCTTTCAGAATATACCCTGACCCCTCCAAGGACTGTCAAATGTTCCACTGCACATCACATTTGTGCACATCTGCACCTCTTTTCCTGGAGCTGTGTGTTTCAGGGTCATTTCAGAGAAAGGTCAAGCAATGGACCTTGATTTTTGTTAGAGCTTTGTATCTGTGCTTAAAAAAAAAAAAAAAAGGCAGCTAGAGAGGAAGTCTGAGAGTCTCCATGCCATTGCAAGTTCATTTCTAGCACTTTCAGAAAGCACTGCAGCTTCTGGGAGGGAAAAAAAAAGCAGCAGTGTTTCATCAGTTTTGTCAATTTGTATTTACACAGCTTTTTTCTCTTCCCCTCACTTGGGGTTGCACCCTGAGCACTGAGAGCAGCTGAGTCTGAGCTCTTCCTGAGGCACTGCTGCTGACAGGCTGGTGTGACTGCTGCCAGCTTCACAGGGCAGGAATATCTGCATGCAGGAAGCTCTAATGCAGCAAAGAGCAGGACAGGAACCTTTTATATAGCTTGGCAAAAAAATAATAAAAAAATCCTGGCAAAAAAGCAGCCTGATTGTTCACTAAGCACCTTTTATGTACACTCCCATTCACACAAAACCCTTCTTGGGTATTGTGTTTCAGAAAGTAACTTTCCCATTGAATCCCATGCAATTATTACTTAATATTGTGTTCTTAGGGTGGCCAGGCATTACAAAGTTATACTTCAGTGCACAACCAGCTTGCAGTTCAAGGCCTAAAAACAATGCTGACAGTGCTTAGAGAGCACAGTGTCCCTGAAGGGAGGGAGGCCTGAGCAGTGCTGAGGTCATGGCAGCTTCAGAGACGTTTGCAGGAGGGAGAACAGACCTGCTGGAACCCACTGGGAATATGGGGATGCTGGGAGGCATCACTGCCCAGCTCCTCATCTCCTGCTCCCATCTCCTGCCCCTCATCTCCTGCTCCCATCTCCTGCTCCCATCTCCTGCCCCTCATCTCCTGCTCCCATCTCCTGCTCCCATCTCCTGCCCCTCATCTCCTGCCCCTCATCTCCTGCTCCCATCTCCTGCTCCCATCTCCTGCTCCCATCTCCTGCCCCTCATCTCCTGCTCCCATCTCCTGTCCCTCATCTCCTGCTCCCATCTCCTGCCCTTCATCTCCTGCTCCCACCTCCTGCCCCTCATCTCCTGCCCCCATCTCCTGCCCCCATCTCCTGCCCCCATCTCCTGCCCCCATCTCCTGCTCCCATCTCCTGCCCCCATCTCCTGCTCCCATCTCCTGCTCCCATCTCCTGCCCCCATCTCCTGCTCCCATCTCCTGCCCTTCATCTCCTGCTCCCACCTCCTGCCCCTCATCTCTTGCCCCTCATCTCCTGCTCCCATCTCCTGCCCCTCATCTCCTGCCCCTCACCTCCTGCCCCTCACCTCCTGCCCCTCATCTCCTGCTCCCATCTCCTGCTCCCACCTCCTGCCCCTCACCTCCTGCCCCTCATCTCCTGCTCCCACCTCCTGCCCCTCACCTCCTGCCCCTCATCTCCTGCCCCTCATCTCCTCCTCCCATCTCCTGCTCCCACCTCCTGCCCCTCACCTCCTGCCCCTCATCTCCTGCCCCTCATCTCCTGCTCCCATCTCCTGCTCCCACCTCCTGCCCCTCACCTCCTGCCCCTCATCTCCTGCCCCTCATCTCCTGCTCCCATCTCCTGCTCCCATCTCCTGCTCCCACCTCCTGCCCCTCACCTCCTGCCCCTCACCTCCTGCCCCTCATCTCCTGCTCCCATCTCCTGCTCCCATCTCCTGCTCCCACCTCCTGCCCCTCACCTCCTGCCCCTCATCTCCTGCCCCTCATCTCCTGCTCCCATCTCCTGCTCCCACCTCCTGCTCCCATCTCCTGCCCCTCATCTCCTGCTCCCATCTCCTGCTCCCATCTCCTGCCCTTCATCTCCTGCTCCCATCTCCTGCCCCTCATCTGCTCTCACCTCCCTCCCCAGGAGAGAACAGCTTTGCCTAAGGCTTTATGAATGGGCAGCAGTGTCACCTTCTGGGCAATCTTGTTCTTGTTTTCTTGTTGTATTGTTCTTGTATTCTTGTCAGACAGACAAAGTGCAGCACTCAATGGTCTCTGCTGTTCAGTTACTTCTCTGCTGCACTTGTTGAGGAGGTAAAATTCCTGCTTCCTCCAGAACTGGCTGCAGGAGAGGCCTGGCCACAGACCCTGAGAAGGGCACAGGGGCCTCTTCCAAGGAGAGTTTACACCGAGCATCTGGAGTTTCAGTTACGAAGGTCAGGTCAGAGGAGACTGAAAAGACAGAAGAAAGACAGGAGGAGAGGAGAGAAACAGCCACAATGATTTCTACATCCTTTTATGTCACCACAAAGGTGGCACAATTTTATTTATTCTCACTGCATTTTTATAAAACTGAAAGAAAATGCAGTGCCACTGCATGCTGGCTTCAGGAGACTGAGGAGGTGCCAATAAAGCAGCCACAAGGGCTCGAGTGGAACAGGCAGGTGAGCAGCAGAACCCACAGCTGGGATCCTGCCCAGACAAGCTCTGGTGCCAGTGTGAGAGTGGCTGTTAAATGGTTCCAACACAGGACACAGGGAGCTCAAAACTCAAAAACTCATCTCTTGAAGGGTGGAAAAGAGTGAGGATGAAATGCTGACCTTCAACACAGCAACTTGAGTGGTTAGGAAAAATCAGTAGCTTAAGAAGAGTGCTAAAATGTGTGGAAGAAACCATGGCATGGAAAAGGGGAGAATAGAAAGGAAAACCAGTAACCTGTAAGATTAAAAATGGTGGTTAGAAAATGGAGGGAGCAAGGCAGTGAAAATAAACAGGATTATGAAAGATAGTGAAGCTTATGAATGTATTTGATGCTACTGCTTCTTTGTCTTTACAGATGTCCCAGGTGGAATAAAAAATTAATCAGGCAGGTTAGGGGAGGTGGACTGGATGTTCCCCAGAGGCCCCATACAACCCCAACTATTCTGTGATCCTGTAGAGATCAAAAGGAACAGGGGATAGGGGGAGGATATCTTTCTTATCTGAATAAAATTTGAGGTAATTAAGCCTCTACCTATTATCAGCTCCATCCCAGCCTGGCCTGCTCTAGATGCCCAGTTTGCATGGGTACTGCACCAGAGCAAATCACACCTGGACATCCAGAGGATCATCTGTGTGGAAATGTTATTTTCAAAAACGGCTCGAGAGCTGCAGAAATAAAGTGCATTTCTGGGGAACTGCCAAGATGCTGAATAATGTGACATTTGTAACAGTAATGAGCACCCCACTTTGCTTCTGAACAAAAAGCACTGTTCAAAAAGTGCATCCATGAATATTATTTCCATATATTTATGCAGAACCCAACCCCACCCCACATTAGCACTGTGTCAGAGGAAAAATTAAACATTCAAGATGAGAAATACAAAGCTAAAGATGAAACACAGATTTAAATCATGACAGATTTAACTTGGACTCATCTTCAATTATTTGGCACTGCATTTCTCTAATTGTGTACAGGCTGCATTTACTCTGGGGCCTGTGCTGTCTTCAAGGGTTTCTTCTGGCAAAGCTGAGACAACTGCAGAGAAACCACTGCTGCCTCTTGTGTGCCAGGAAACCACGTCCTGAGCACGTGGGCTCGGCCTGCAAGGAGCACAAGGACAGCTCTCTGCAGATGGGATTTCAGAGCTGCTCTCAGCCAGCCAAGCCCTCGGGAAGCCCCGAGTGGCCTGACAAAGGATAAACCCCTGTTTTGTCAAGACAGAGCAGTTTTTATTACTCCAAGGAGGCATCGTCAGTGCTTCTCTATGACAACAAAAGGGTGAGTCTGATCCCATGACCAGAACAGTACTCCTCCAATATGTCATCATTCTGAGATGTTAAAAAGCCAGGCTGCCTGAAAGCCATCATTTAGTGGCTGAAAGCTTGTAAAGGAAATTCCAGTGTGTGTTATAGGATGTAACAAAAATACATGCCAAAGGAGCCAGGTTAGCTGGGCTCTGTTATCTTCTAAATGAGTGGTTTTGTAAACTCCACATGTTGTGTGAGTGATGGGGTAGCTGGCATTTTTTTGGTGGAGCTGATAAAGCCCATGGCCGGCTGCTACCCAGCCTGAGGCTTTCTCCACCCCTGAAGCCATCCTGACCTCCTCAGTGAATGCTTTTCCCCTCAAAGCCAGCCTCACATCTGGCTGTTTCTGTCTCTCTGCCACAGGGCAGTGCCCACAGCCTCACAAGCCCTCAGAGTGGTCCCTACCAGCTGGTCACAGACAATCCTGCTTCCTCTGTCTGCTCCTTATCTTTCTTTTGCTGGAATATCCTGGTTTCCTTCCCTGAACCAGAACAGTGGATAGCCAGAGACACCTTGCACATCTGAACAGCGCTCCATGGACCTGACTGCCATTTGGGCCGTCCTGATATTTGACTATCTGCTGCCAAAACTCCAGCAAACTTAGTGTTTGAATTTATCATTATTTCTAGCAAAACCGATGTTGAACATCTAATTTCAATCAACGAGCTTCCTATTCAGAAGCTAAATTTTGGTGTGAAATACCCACTCCCCATGGGGTGAGCAATCTCCTTCCCTATCACATGGGTACTGTTTCAGCTGTCAGGTTTAAGCCTTTACCTGTAAAATTCCAGAAAGTCTCACACCACAGTCACTGCCCTGGTCCTGCTGCCACACTGTGCTGATCCAGGCCAGGTGTCCCTGGCCCTGTGCCCACCTGGGCTGGTGCCTGTCCCTGTGGGCAGCGCTCCAACCCAAGCGCATCCCTCTGAGGGTCAGCGACAAACGTGGCTCTGCAGGGCTGGGGACAGTGGCTGAGTGACCGTGGTGTACAGCCTGATGGCACACATCATAAATTCATGAGCAAAGTCTTTCCTGACACACTCAGGACAGGCTGCCCCCCAACCTGGCACCAGCCGATAATACAAACCGCAGCCCCAGTGGTCACTGGATTACACCACAAAGAGCTTAAAACGAAATCAAAGCGCTTTTTTACCGAAAAGGGGTCCCAATAGTGAAACACAATGCTCTGGAAGTCTAACGCGACAAGTTCTGGTCTCTAACGTGCTCTGCCTGAATTACGCTAAATCCATTATGCCCTGAGACAGCCCTGCAGTTCCTCCATTGGGGTACGGGTTTCCCCATTTTCCCCTTGGTTGTTGCCTCTCTCTGCCCTCGGCTGCTTTCCACAGTTTTCTCCTCAGTTGTTGCCCCCGTCTGCCCTCGGTTGTTTCCCCCCAGTTTTCCCCTCAGTTGTTGCCCCCACCTCCTCTCGGTTGTTTTCCCCGTTTCTCCGCAGTTGTTGTCCCCCGTCTCCCCTCGGTTGTTTTCCCCGTTTCCCCTCAGCTCTTGCCTCCCGTCTGCCCTCGGTTGTGTTCTCCCATTTTCCCTCTCAGTTGTTGCCCCCGTCTCCCCTCGGTTGTTTTCTCCCATTTTCCCCCTCACTTGTTGCTCCCCGTCTCCCTTCGGTTGCTGTTCCCCATTTTTCCCCTCAGTTGTTGCCCCCGTCTCCCCTCGGTTGTTTTCCCCCAGTTTTCCCCTCAGCCGCTGCCCCCTCTCCCCTCAGCCGCATAGGGAGCGGCCCGGGACGGCTCGATCCGGCGGAGCCCCCTCGGGTCCCGGCTGCCCGGGGTGGCTCCCGCAGCTCCCCGGCCCCGGTGTCCCGTCCTTACCGACTCTGCGAGCAGCAGCTGCCCCTTGCGGGAGCGCAGGAACTCCCGGGGGGGGAGCAGCGAGCTCAGCCCGGGCGGCGGTGCGGTCCCCTCGGACTCGGGGTCCTCCATGGCCGCGGCGCGGGCGGGGTGGGCGCGGGCTGGGGCCGGGCTCGGCTCAGCTGGGCCGGGCTGGGCTGGGCTCGGGCTGAGCTCGAGCCGGGCTCGGGCTGGGCGCGGGCTCAGGCTCGGGGTAGGGGGTTGGCCGTGGAATTTTTTTTTAATTTTTTTTTTTTTTCTCTCTGAAGGAGGGAAGCGGAAATCGTGACACTGCGGAAACGTGAAAAAAAAGTTTCAGCATCCCCAGCTGTGGGGGGCGGCCCCAGCGCCCGCCCCCAGCCCCGGGACAATGGAGCTGGGCTGCGGGACCCAGAGCAGCGAGCCGGGCGCGCTCGGGTCCCGCCACCCCGAACACACGGAACCGCCGGAGATCACAGCCCAAACCCCGCTCAGCGCTGAAATTTCAGGATACAAATGCCTCGGCGAACGCCTTAACATGAAATCTGCATGACAGAAGAAAATCTTTCCAAAGAATGGTTACTGGGTCATTACATTTTTACTTTACTTTAAATGGTACATTTATTCTAATGTACTTTTTTACACTTAGTAAATAAATAAGATTAAATAATGCACTTAAGCCCGTTTGTATTTTCTTTTTATTAGAGAAAGAAGACAACCATAAAAACAATTTTCATACAGGTAAAAACATAATTAAGTTTAGAAAAACACGACAATTTTCTCCAAAGTTTTAACTGGTGAAATTGCAATGCTGAAACTGCATTTGGAAAAGTACAAAACCTTATGAATGATACTTGCAGAAACATCAGTGCACAGGAAATTCAAAAGTGAGCACATGAAAACACAAACTCTTTAAAAGAGAGTGGGAAAACAGAATGGAGAACTCATTCTTTCACTAACATGTCATTCTTATTTGGGAGGAGCACTCCTTCCTCTTCCTCTATCAAGTCTAATCTTCTTGCAAAGAAGAACCGCGTCGACAATGCAGAGAACAAGCAATATAAGACCCAAAACCTATAAGAATTACCATAAAATTAGTTCCCCCACTCAGTCTCGAACTTTTACTGTAGTGACTCATCAGTAAATATATACTTGTTTCTGGCCTTGAAAATGTGTGTGATTTGAGATACTGATAAATTAAATACACCCACATTTACATCCCATCAGGCTTTCAGAGAGCTGTCTGCAGCCTGCTCTGTTTGATGTTTGTGTCAGGCCTTGGAGGTAGTGTGGTGCTCTCCCTCAAAGCTAAGCTAATGCTGCACTATGCCAGACAATACTTTTATCCTAAATGAAAGCCCTTCTGTCTCTTTAAGGGCTGCTTAATTAATGGGACTGGCCCTGAGAAAAGTCAAGGGAAAGTCAGTATTCCTAGAAACAAGCCCAGCAGAAAAATGCTCTTCTCCTCTGAAGCTCTGAATGGGAAACATATTCCAAATTGAAGAAAATGTACTAAATTATTTAAAAAATACACCACCTCAGGAAGGTAACTGGAAAAATGTGTTTGCAGGAAAGCCACTGAGTTAACTCACTCAGCTCCTGCCCTCCAGCCCCATCCCACGTGCATGCTGGGGTTATTAATGCAGGCACTGCATTACCTGATCAGTTATTTTCAGGAGAGCTCTTGGGAGGGCACAGCTCAAGGCACTCTGTGCCTCAGCAGAACAGGCTGGGGGTGATTCTGTCCCTTCCAGCACTGAAGATGTCAAAGGTTCTACCCAAACCTGTGTTCCCAGCTACCTGCTCAGTCTCCTGCTCCCACCTTTCATTTCTGTGGACTTCACAACTGAGAATGTAAATTCTACTCCAGCACAGTCACTCTATCAGAAAGTCTCCTTTTTGCTTAGGATGCCACTGCCAGTGAAGCCATCAGCTTTCCCCCTCACCACCTCCTAATCTGAGTTTGAAAGAGCTCTGTGGCAGCTTTTAGGCTTCTTTTGGTTGCTTGCCACATTTCAGCTTATCTTGTACTTCTAGAGACTTTCAAAACTGAGGGGTTTTCTTTCTCTCCTTATTGTTTACTAAGGTTAATTACATAAATTGACATTTGAATTAAAAATACCAGTTACTCAAACTATTCAACTGATTTCATCTTAAGAACACAAAATTCTTACAATCATAGTATGAACAAAACCCATTTTTAACTGACATAATTCCTCAGTTTGTGTCAGAAAAAACAATGTACGTGCTAGGAGGGAGGTACCAGTGTGTCTATTAAAAAGTTTAAACTCTTTTTAGGACAGTTGGCATTTCTCATGTAGTAACCCAACTGGGTAGTCCTAAAAGAGCTAGGGATTCTGCCACCCAGGATTTCAAGCTATGGTAGCAAATGTAGGTTACTTAAAAACTCTAGAAATTTTCAGTGTTTCAGTACTTCTCTGCAGTAATTCCTAAGTCTTGTAACATCTTTAGATTACTAGTGATGTGAGGATTATTTCTTTTAATGAGACACACTGGATGTAACTTGTTTGCTACTGCTGAGTGTTGTTCCAAGACAGTTGTTTGTATGGTCCTACCACAATGTGAGTGTACTAAGAGGTTCAAATCACTGCACTCTAAGAACTGAAATTCATTAACAATGCTCCTACTTACTCCTCCAGCCAATGTTCCCTTGTTGGTCTTGATTATTATTGCAAACAAGGCCACAACGAGGAGGAACAACGCTGCAATCACCGAGTTGAAAATATCCTGAAACAGCCAGTGGAAGCAAAATATTTATTCTGAAATACAGGCCTGAAGGAGAGTGTGGAGAGCTCCCAGCACAGAAGGGATGGTTAAAAGCAGCTGGACTGCCATGAAGACAGAGCTACAGCAATATCTGTGTGAGAGGACACTGACACCCAGTGGTTTGATCACAAAAAGAGTGTTTAGAGTAAAAGTTCCTTGTTTTACCTTTCTTCTGTTGATTTTGCATCAAATTTTTGCAACTTGGCTACATGTGAGAGACTGAAGCAGCAAATACACGTACAAAAGGGAGGTAAGAGGAGACCTTGTTAGCATTTGAGTGGAAGTGTGTGACTAATTTGTGATGTGAAGGGGTTACACAACGAGGCAAACAGTGCCTGTGCCAGGAGGGGCTGTTATCGGATCCAGCAGTGTCCAGGAACTGATGGAACAGAACACTCTGTTAGGAGAACCTGCCTCAGCCTCCACAGCACACTGGGGCTTGCCTTACCTGGACAGAAACAATCACTGAGCTGCTGAGCACGTCCCTTGGGACAGGTGATCCCTCCAGGTCACAGCCCTGCTGGTGCTCACAGCCATTGGCCACAGCAGCCAGGGGACAGCAGGACCCACAGCCAGGGGACAGCAGGACCCACAGCCAAGGGACACTGGGGACAGCAGGACCCACAGCCAAGGGACAGCAGGACCACAGCCAGGGGACAGCAGGACCCACAGCCAGGGGACATTGGGGACAGCCATAGCCACAGCCAGGGGACAGTAGAACCCACAGTTATGAGACATTGGTACTCACGGCCAGGGGACATCGGTACCCAGCGTCCATCAATACTCACGGCCGGGCACACGGCTACTCACAGGCATCAGTACTCACAGCCCACAGGTACTCACAGCCCACGGGTACTCACACCCCACGGGTACTCACACCCCACGGGTACTCACACCCCACAGGTACTCACACTCCACAGGTACTCACAGCCATCAGTACTCACAGCCCACGGGTACTCACAGCCAGCGGCCAGAGGAGGAAGCGCATCCGCGCGTCGACCCTGAACAGGTAGAGCAGCAGGAACAGCAGGGTGATCACCGTCTCCATGCCGGCCAGCGCCGTGTAGGCCCCGTGCGCGCCCGAAACCGCGAAGCAGATGAAGGCGGCCAGCGCCACCAGCTGCGGGACAGGAGGGGACGGAGGTCAGCGCCGGCCCTTGTCTCAGGCCCTGCCCGCCGGCCCCGGGCCGCCCCCGGCCGTACCGTGCGGGAGATCTTCAGCGCGCCCCGCGGCGTGCGGGGGAAGGCCCGGTCCACCACCGTCCGCCCTGTGGCGGGCGGGCGGCGCGCCGCGGCACCGGGACTCCGCGACGGCGGGAGCCGGGGAGATCCCGGCGCCGAGCCCGCAGGTGATGCCGGGGCCATCGCCGGCGCTGGAGCAGCCCCGCCTCAGAGCGCCGGGGCGGAGGAAGTGATGGCCTAGCGGCGGAAGGGCCGGGGCGGGCCGGAGCTGGGCCGGTGCGGCGCGGGCCGGGCGGCAGCGGGGATGGGCAATGTGGCGGCGGGGCGCGGCCTGGGCGTGGGGCCGGCGGGGCGCGGGCACTGCCGTCCCCGGCCCCTCAGCGGGCGGGCCCCGCGCCGCTGCCCACCGTAAGTGCGGGGCGGAACCGCGGCACGGGCTGGGCCGGGCGGCTGCCCCTGGGCCCGGCTGCGGCTCCGTGCGAGCCCTCGGGATGCGCTGGAGCCGCTCCGGGGGAGCGGGAGCGGGGTCAGAGCCGGGAGCGGCTCCGGGGGAGCAGGAGAGGGGTCGGACTCTGGAGCGGCTTTGGGGCAGCAGGAGCGGGCCAGACTGGAGCTCTGAGCGCCCAGTCCGTCCCTGCCTTCCTGCCCTGCTTGGCTGGGTGAAGGCTCTGTAAGCTCAGCTTGGCTGGGACAGATTTTTACCGCTGTTTTGAGGTGTAAGGTGCTTGTTTGGGAGCTGCTCTGTAATCCTGTGAGGCCAATGGGTGCTGCTCCAGCTGGTTTTTTCAAGACTTATTTTTCCAGCTTATTTTTCCCCTGTGCAGACCCACTGAGGAGCAGCAGATGCAGTCAAAATCTGGTGAAAGTGTGAGCACTCCCCATTGGACTCTTGGCAGTGTCAGGGACAGTGCAGAACTTTAGCTAAATCTGTGTCAGTCGGTGCCACAATGTCTCTGTTACATGACCCAATAATTAATTACCTAAAACTGGCCTGGAGGGTCTCACATTAAGAGAATCAGTATAACTGATTCATATAAGTTATGAAAATTGCTTTGATTTAACTGTTGTTAAATAAACTGTTGTTTATTTCCATTCTAGATAAGCATCTGATAAAAAAAGATCCTAGGAAGAGAATTGTAAGTATTTGCATTTTGTTCAGAAAACAAAGTGAAAAGTGCAGCCTCTTTCAGTGTAATTCCATTGTAATTTGAGTTTGTGTGTAATGGCAGCCGTAGGCCGTAGCTGTGTGTCTGTCACTGGCTCATACTCTGTGCAAGGCTACGCTGAAAATTGTGTAAAATTGTGGGAGATCTGTGCAAAAACTGGGAGGGCTTGTGTCAGGACAGGTGGCAGTGTGGGTTCACTCCTGCATGTGCAGCCTTGCCATTGCCTTATATAACCCCCTTGGGCTATAAATTATTTTAAGACAGTTGAAAAAAATTCTCTGAGTTTATTTTAGTTGTTTAGGTCTCTGAAAATAAAAACGTGATCCCTCTTAAGGTTTAAGCTATGTATATAATGGATGCTGAGGTTATTATGACAGCTGGCACTTTTTTGAGTTGGGAGTCAGGCTCTGAGGTGGGTTGTGGCAGAGTGGGACAGCAAGTGACCCTCAGGAGTCCCTGGGGTCCTGGAAGGGGAGGAAAGCTGGGAGCAGGACAGGGCTGGCTGTGGGGGCAGCAGGGAGGGAAAAAGTGGTGTTGTGGGGGAGTCACAGCATCCAGAGAGATCCCATGGAACAATCTGTCCCCAGCATGGCATGCTGGAAGGGCAGGGGGCATTCCTGACACACTGTCACTGCTCTGCCACAGCGTGGGGCTCAAAGTCTCTCTGCTTCTCACCAGATCTGTATCGAGGGCAACATTGCCAGTGGAAAAACAACATGCCTGGATTATTTTGCACAGACTACCAGCATTGAGGTACTGGATGCACATTTCTTTGTCCTTATTCCCTCACTGAGCTTGTCTTGGATCCAATGTGTCCTTGGGTGTCAGAGGAGGGAGCAGCAGGGGCACCACCCCAACTTTTTACACTCACATTGCAGCAGAGAAATGTAGATCACATGTGGTATGTACTGGATGCCAAAATACCAGAAAAAGCTGTGAATCAGTGTTTGTGCCTTCATAAAGTGACAGCAGCCCACAGAGCATGGGCATGTTTGGACATGCCTGTTTGCCATTTCATGTCACTGAAATCTTAGATGGGTCTGGTCAAAGCAAAGTAAAGAATTATTATGTAAAAATACCTTGTAACAGAGATCCCATTAAATAGATGGTTTTTTTAATAGAAGGAAAATCTGTTAGAACTATTTCAGGAGATTTCTTAGAGTGATCTGGTATTTGATTTCATGTTGCTTAGAACCAGGTTAGGGGAAGGGCAGGCTTGTTGCATTTTAAACAAAACCAAGGTCAAACCTTAGTGAACAATTGTTCTTGTACAACAGACATTAATGCTTTCCCCAACAGACCTGGCAACACATTGCCAATAAATTTGAGTCCTCATAGAAATGCTGGGTTGCCAGATGTTATTTGGTAGTTTAACAGAAATTGTCCTTATGAAGTAATTAACTATTAATCCAAAGGATAACAGACTTTAATTTGCATACAGTGCAGCATTTTAAAGTAGCTACTTCAGCTCCTAGGCTGATGAGATACTCCTAGGCCTGACTCTACAGTATTATTGTAGATTTAGACTCTGTTTGAACCAGGCAGGTCTCTTGTGATTTTACCTATTCAGGGTAGAAGCTTTTCTGATTCATTTTGTAAAAGATTTGAATACATTTTGTTTGTTAGAACACAAAAATAAAATGAAAATGAATGTGGTAGCAGTCTGATCCTCTTCCTTTGCTGACAAGTGTTACTTTCTGAGAAGTTAATTTGTGAGGGGATGGACTTGTCATTGAAATGCTAAGCACTCTGCTAAGCTGCTCTTTCCCTTATGTGGTGCTGATTTTGACTCAAAAAAAGTTTCTCTCCAGGCTTAGGAGGTGTTTAAAAATGCTCAGAAGACACTGGGTATTGACATGTCTCTATTTTTAGCAGTGTTCGTTATTACCTTCTGTGTTACAGAATTCAGTGCTGGTTTTTTAAGTGTCATGAGCTTTCCTGTACAAGTCCTGAATGCTCTGATTTACTGCACAAGTATTCCTGAAGAATAGTTGGTCACTTGTAGGGTCACATTAAGTATTTTGAATCTAAGATGTATTTAACATGGAGTAATTATTTTAAACCAGGTTTTGAAGGAACCCTTGGCCAAGTGGAGGAATGTTCGAGGTCATAATATCCTGGTAAGTGGCAGAAATGATTCCTGCAGTTACAGTGGCTGCTCTTTTAGCAAGACTTGTGTGATGGCTTTTTATCAGCCAGCAAAACTGCTACAAAAGGTGTGATCCAAATCTCACACAGCAAAAACTAAAGCTCCACAAAGCAAAAGAGCTTCTACTGTGGTTAAGACATGCATGTCATAGAAGCTCTGCATATAAAATGTGATTTTGGCAAGGACTGGGTGTCCAGTGGGGTGAGTTAAAGCAATTCCCAGGAGGGTAAGCCCTGAGTGTGGCAGTTGTTTCTAAGTGTGCTTTTTTGTTGTGCCTGTTTCAAAGAAGGTGAGGTGAGAGGTGGATCTGTCAGTTAATGTTGTTTGACTGGAGATCTGTGAACAGTTCTGGAGCCCCCAGCATAAAAAGGACATGGAACTGTTGGAGAGAGTCCAGAGGAGGCCATGGAGGGGCTGAGGGCACTGTGGAGCCAGGCTGGGAGAGCTGGGGCTGCTCAGCCTGGACAGGAGAAGGTTGTGTGGAGAGCTCACAGCTCCTTCCAGGCTCTGAGGGGAGCCCAGAGAGGGACAATTCCTCAGGAACTGCAGGGACAGGACAGGGGGAAAGGGGACAGATTGAGAGAGAGGTAGTTTAGGTTGGATGTATGGAAGGAACTCTTTCCTCTGAGAGTGGGCAGGGCCTGGCACAGGGTGCCCAGAGCAGCTGGGGCTGCCCCTGGATCCCTGGCAGTGCCCAAGGCCAGGCTGGACACTGGGGCTGGAGCAGCCTGGGACAGTGGAAGGTGTCCCTGCCATGGCAGGGCTGGCACTGGGTGGGACTTAAGGTCCATTCCAGCTCTTTAACCCTGCATGAATCTGTGATCCTGTGGCTGCTGCAGGTAAGGAAGGTTCAGCCCAGTGAGGAGTTGAGGGCTTCCATTGTCCTTTGGGTGGCTGAGGCTTCTTGGAGCTGCTCCCCCAGGCTGTCCCTGGCTCCCAGCTGCACACTGGGATGCTGGGATGGTCCCTGCTGTGAGCCCTGTGCTGGGCTCAGCCCCTCTGCAGGAACCCCAGGGTGGCTGAGCAGGGTCTGTGCTCTGCAGTCTGCACTGTGGACACAGCCCAAGCCATGCTTGCCCTGACATGTGTTAAATACCATCAGTGTTATTTAACAGTAAATTGTCCCTCCTAGGAGTTGCTGATGCCTTTCTGATTGTTAGTAAAGGGCTGGGGCATGTGTTGCATGACACCACAGCAGCCTTGGAGCAGAGGGAAAGTCTGATCTTGGCAGGGAGCAAAGCAGAAGGTCGGACCTGTGGGCTGAAGCTTTGCTGCTGTCTTAAAACTTGTCACCTCAGCCAAAAGACACTGAATGATGTTTTATTTTGAGTGAGATCTTTTCTCTGCTGTGCAGGAGAGATGGTTGCTTTAAGTTCTATGTGAGTGTGGAATTGCAGCAATCAGAAAGTGGAACAGCTACCTGAGAGCTGCTGTGAGGATGTGTCCTGTGTTAAAGGACACCTTTGCTGAGGCCCAGACCATACTTAGAACCCTGTATGATGTCTGGATGCACTGAGGGTCTGTCAGGGCACAAAAATGGTGTGGTCGGTGGGATTTTTCCATTAGTTGGTTCTGACTGTTCCATGTGCAGAGTAACTAATTCCTGCTGAGATCAGCCAGCCTCCCACTTGTTAGCGTTCAGAAACACATAATCATGAGAATGATTGTATGCAGGTGCTTTTATTTAAGAGCTCTGGGTGTCAGGGGTACAAACCTAAATCTGACACCAACATGCATTCGGGATGAACATGTTTTGATATTCTATCTTTATATGACTTTCATGTTAATTATTAAACTTATATTGTTCTATTGTATACATAGATTTCATCCAAGCATGGGCTCCTTGTGGTCCCCCTCAAACTTCTAACATAGTTTCTCATGATTCTTCTTACAATTAAACAATAATTATATTTAATTACTAAGCAATCATCACATCTAGCACTTGTACCATTTATCATATACTGCTTACGCAGGTGCAATTTCACATGATCTGGCAAACACAAAGCCTAACATTTTCAGAGTCTATTTTTAACATTTTTCCAGGGCCCCACTAAGTCTAGCTTCTTTCTAATTCCCCGAATTTTATGATTTTAAAACCTTTTACTATCACACTCAGTGTCTGTAGGGACAGGGCTGTAATTCTGCACCTCCATTGTGGAGAGCAAATTATCACTTCATTTCGGTCAAACCTGATGTCAGCTGTTTAGCACACTTAGAGCCATGCTGTTGTAGGGAAAAGTTTCCTAAATACCCAACTTCCTGTTGTGCTGTTTGTCCTAACAAATGTCCATCTGTCCTGCTTCCATCTCTGACCCCAGGGCTTAATGTACCAGGATGCATCAAGGTGGGGGATAACTCTGCAGACCTATGTCCAGCTGACCATGCTGGAGCAGCACACCAGGCCCATGGTAAGGAAACTTCTTTTCATTTTATGAGTAATTAGATGTGGTTATGAGTGCTAAATCCCTTTAACATTGTAGTCAAGAGCTGGGATGCTGTGTGCATTCATTCTTTGTTCCTGCAGTGAGCAGGAGTTTCTGAGGTGCACATTGATATGCTCTGGGGTAAAACCTCTGCCTCCTGCCTGCTCACAGCTTCCCCAAAGTGGTGCTGCTCTTTGGGCACACCCTCCAGGGCTAGGCTTGCACAAATCTCTTCCTCATTTCATGTCAGTGACTTGTCTGGAATTTCATTATCTCAAATCTTTGGCAAACACCAAGTAATCTCTTGTTAGAATTCATAGTACTACTTCATGCTGTCTAGTACAAATTTAGCCATTGCTTCTTCTGTTTATGCAAAATACTTCCACTACCATTTTCTATTCCTTTTTCAGGTGATTGACATTCTTTCTTTCGTGTAATTTTTTTTTTTTTTAATATTAAATTTCACATCCTACCTTTTTATCAAGATTTCTTCATTCTTTTTTCCTTCAAACACCTTTTGTTACATTCTATGCGGTCTTCCATTCCCTGATTACAACACCTGGTCTTAGATGCCATGGTTCTATTTTACTGATAGTTTTTATATTCTGTTTTCTGAGTTTGTGTCAGGGCAGACTTTTGGCAGTGCCAAATATGAAAGTGGCACATATAATCATTAGGTTTTCGGAAGAGGTGTTTTTCCAAGATAATAGAAATCCTGTTCTCTTGGAGAAGTTGTTCATTCAAGAATTCCTGAGGATTTCCCTCTGAGCTTTTTTGGTCATTTGAGCCTTGCTGGAGCCGTTTTTGCTTTGTTAATGTGCAGAAGCCTGGGTGAGGAGCTGATTTGCCAGGCCCAGGAGTGTCAGATCTCTCCCTGCTCCAACATGAAGTGCTGGTGGGACACGTGCAGGGCTGGCTATGAGGGCTCTGTCAGCTGCAGTCACTTCTTTTAAAAGTCCTGTTTCCTTTCTTGAATGTGTCTGGTGTCAGCTGTGTGCTGTGACCAGCAATGCCTGGGATGGAGCAGCACTTTGTGGAGCAGCAGTTCCCATTGTCCTGCAGATCCCAAATGGATTGCTGCTTTTTTGTACCTGAGTTACCTTCCACTGCTCAGCTGAATGCTGAGCACTTGCCCTTGAACTGAATAACAAATCAGAGTAAGATCAGGAGTCCTTGTTTGCTTTGTGGTTCCCACCCTCCTGGTAAGTTTGTTTCTCAAAAGATCTGGAAATTGTATTTCATATGTGCCATGTGAGTGTGAAAAGAAACAAGCATGAACATGTACAGAGTCAGGTTCTGTGTTGCAGATTTGCCCCATAAGGATGATGGAGAGGTCCATTCACAGTGCAAAACACATTTTTGTGGAAAACCTCTATCGAAGGTATGGCATGTGGTTTTCTGCTTTACTTTCTTGGCTTCATTATTTTAAATAGACACCTAATCAAATGATAATTCCTTTGGTAGTGTGCATTTAAGGGGCCTGTGAAATCTGCCAGCTCTGTGTTTAGTGGCAGTGTGTTTGGTATGGGCTGTATGCCCACTTCCTGCAGGACTCTGGGAAACCTTTTCCAGCAGTGCTCCTGAGCATTTAGCACTCACCTATTGAAGTTACTGGCTCTCCAGCTGAATACCCAAATCTTGCTTGAATCAAACACATGCTGGACAGGTAAAAAACCACAAAGATAGAAAGAGTAAGAGTGTGGGAGGTAGAGAACTGGGCAGAGTTAGCTAGCCTGGCATCCTCAAGTCCTGTGCTCTTGCTCAGAATCAGGATTGACAGGAACAAAATAGACTGCAAGCCTTGGCAGGCTTGAGTAAAGAAAGAACAATTTTAACAGTTACACCTAACTGCCCTAGGTGGAACTCACCTGTCCCAAACTGACTGAAATAGTGCAGGAATCAGGGTTTTGTTTGTTTGTTTGGAGTGCTGAATTTCTGTCGAGGAGTGTATGTGGCAGATGGGTTTTAGTCGGTTTTTCAGTGGCCTTGAGAGTCTGGAACAGTAACAAACCCCAGTTTGTGCCACAAGGTGTCATCCACGCTGCACGAGCACCTCTCTGCCATGGGAAAGCCACTGGAAGTTCTTATTCATCCCACACAGTGCAAGCAGCCTGGGATATCCTCATTTTTAGTTGGCTTCTTTTTTCATTGTAGACAAAGTGCTTTTTTTCCTAAAGATTTAGTTGCTCTGAGGCTAAATCTCTTTGTGACAACGCTGTAAGTTAATAAGAACAATTTTAAGGGCATCTAAGATGTTTTGCACTTTTTAAATGCTGAAAAAAGGTATTTGCTTTGTTTTGTTACAGCAAGCTAGAAGGCAGCTGATAGAACCAACAGCAAGCCAAAAGAAAATAATGTGTAAAAGGATTCTAAATAAAAGAAGGAATAATTGAGGAATGTATGAAAGTAGCTGTTTTGTGAGACATTGAGCATGGAGTCAGTCTGGCTGTGTTAGGTGAGTGTTGAGTGTGTGCAGGGTGTGCTGTAGGTGAGCACTGCAGCTCACTGTCCCTCTGAGTCCATCACTGCTTAGGATAGAATCTCACTCTGTTCATGCTGGATTGAGGCAGTAAAAACCTGATTTGGTAGGGGCCAAATGCCAGCAAACTTTGGAAATGTAAACACCATTTTGTGCCTTTTATATACCCTGTATCTGTATGGATCTTGAGCCAGAGTCCTCCCAGGATTACCCAGGGAAAGCAGAGATGTGCTGTCTGTAGATTTAATGCAGGATTGACTTGGATGTGTTTGTATTTTTGAGTAGGAACAGTGGAGCTTTTTCTTATTTCCAGTTCCTTTCAGCCTTCCTATTTCCCCCATCTATCCTGGAGAAAAGCAGCACAATAGACTTTGGCTGATGTGGATCCCTGCTGCCCAGAATTGCTGTGATTATCAGGAAGAGCAGCAGTGAGCAGTGTTACCCCATTTCTGGCTGGCAGATCAAGATGGGACATGGCACAAACAGGGATTTTGCTTTTTTTCCATACTTAGGGAAATATCTGTGTTACTTTTGCTCACTTTTGCAAGTGATCAAAGCAAGTTGCCAGGGGACTGGTTTAGAAATCTGTGGAATATTTTTTTTCAGTCCTATTTAAAATGGCCTAACTGGTCTGAATCATTCAGCTGGAGAGCACAGGAGCCTCCCAACTCCATCTTCTTAACATTTTTTCTATTGCAGAAGTGTTTAGGAAAGAGTATGGAGTATGTGTTATTGTCACCAGTTTTGCAGAGTGGATACTGTAAAATTAGTAATATTTGACACTCAGGAATGTGGTAATAAGTGAAAATTGATACATTAATAGAAACACAGTATGTGATTCTTAACATGTCCTCAGTAACTCCCTTTTACTTGAGTTGTCTGATACTTTATTGTTGTTGCTGAGATAACTTTGGGACTTTTGTCTCCAACATTCTGTGCTCTGAGTTCAGAGTTAAGCATATTGAGTATTTCACTACTCTTTCCACAAATATTTCTTACAGTGGGAGTGAATTTATTGACACATGGACATTATATTTCTGCTGCCTTTTACTGTGGCTTCTGTAAGGAATTGTTGGTGCTGCTCAGTAAATCCATCCCTTCTGGTGGCATGCCCTGGGACAGATTTGACACAGAGAACTGAGTAATAAATACCATTGAGTACTTATAAAAAAAGGAAAATATTTGGTCTTTCTGTTTTATAAACAACGGTTTATGTGGCCTTCAATTTGCATGGGCTTCTTTTCACAAATGTTGGAGTCAGTGGGGAGGGATTGTGGTCAGGTGAGCAAAATGGGAGTTTTGATCTCTGCATGCTGCTCAGATGTGCTCCTCTTGTGTTTGTTCAGTGGAAAAATGCCAGAGGTGGATTATGCTGTCCTGAGTGAATGGTTTGACTGGATCCAGAACAACACTGATGTTTCAGTTGATCTGATAGGTAACATCTTGATGGGTCTGGAGGGCTGTGTTTGTGGGTGGGCTTCCTTTCTGGGAGAAGAAAATGATTCTTGTTTTTTTGGGTCATAAATAATCACATTATTCAGTATAAAAGTGACCACCATCAGGCAGCTGATGTGGGTGGTTCATGGGTTGGGTAGTGCCAAAGGGGAGGTCCAGTGGTGGTAGCCAGGATCCTTCCCTTCTATAGTTTGTGAAGTGAGTTTCTTACTTGCTTTTAAAGCTGATCCTTGAACATAACTATTGACATTTTTGTTCCTGCAGTTTATTTGCAGACATCTCCTGAAGTTTGCTATGAGAGGCTAAAGACAAGATGCAGGGAAGAGGAAAAAGTCATTCCTCTGGTAAGGAGTTCCTCTGATACATGTGCTTACAAGGAGCTTTGAAAACAGAACAATTCCAATCTAAATACTAAAATTATATCCTGAGTATATTGCCAGAATGTGGTGCAGCTGTTTCCACTGCAAACTACACCCTGAATACTGAATTTAGATTTATTTTTAAGAAATGATCTGTCATGCACGCTGGCTCTCCCAGGTGTTCTGCTGTAGCTGACTTTAGGTGCAGCATTAATCAACTGGTAATCTTCTCTGGGATGTAAAAGTCAATTATCTTTGTACCATGAAATGGCACAGAAGCACCCAGGTGTGGCCTTGCAGGTGCTGAGGTTTCTGTGGGCACTTTGCTGTCTGCTGCCTCCAGGATGTTTGTGCATGAAAAGTGTCCCTGCAGTGGCTGAAAGAAGCAGCTCCTTGAAACTGTGAGCTTGGCAATCTGCTTTAGAACAAGCTGTGCTGGTGGAGCAGTGATTTCTGTGCCAGTTCTTGTGCCACAGGGCTTCTGAAGGAGCCTGACCAGACGTGAATGCGGCCCGGGGTGGGTGGCTCAGGAGAAGCAATCATCAGTTCAAGATCTGTGCAAAGAGCTAAATCTTGGGCCATGTGAAATGCTGAGAATAAATCCTCCTGTAGTGGATTTGAAGAGCCCTTGTGTTATTTTGCAGCTCTGCTGAAGAAGAGGGGAGCAGTTATGAATGAGCAATGTGAAGTGGTCTCCATGAAGAAAAAAGGCAGTTCATGACAGGCAGGAGAGCTTTTAGAGGAAATTGAGTTATGAGAAAGTGAACTGGGAATTCTAGGGAAATGTACTGACACAGAAAGTGCCTCCCATACATATTCTTGGCAGCCTTGCCCTTTTTGTCCTTACTTTGTTGTAAATTTTTTCTGTAAAATCTTGAAGCACATTTTACCTGTGGGAGAGAATCATGGTTGCTTGATCTTTAAAGGAGCTGAGAGCCCTGTGCTCCTGTAAGCTGTGTCTTTGAGGTCTTCCTGGAGTTAAACTTTGTACTAGAATTAATTTTTCTCAAAAACCTTCTGATGCTTTTTAGTTTTTGTTAGTGGAAGATATGTGTTGCAGGCTTTCATATGTACCCCAATGGATAAAGATTGCAATGTGTGTGTCATCCCTGGGCATTTGTATTATTCCAGTGCCTCTTTTCTAGGAATATTTAGAAGCTATTCATGAGCTCTATGAAGAGTGGCTCATTAAACGTGCACTGTTTGAAGTTTCCTGCCCAGTACTTGTGAGTATTATTTTTATTATAACCAATTAGGCATGTAGGGCATTGTGCTTTCTAAATATTAGCAACATTGTTTAGTGGTAAAAGTAAATAAATCTGCTTGTCTGATAACCTTTGGGGAAGGACAACCTCAGACAAACATGGTAGCTGTTGGTGTGTAGAACAAAAGGTGGGATCTGCCATCTCTGCAGTGGAGTTTGAGGGGCTGTTCACAGATTGCTTGCAGGATCAGCCGTGGAGCTTTTCAGGGAATGCCAAATTCCCAGCACAAAGCAGCTTGGGCAAATCCCTAGAGTATCCCAGTTTGGCTCTACTGGTAGTCCTGCTCTGTTCTGCTGAAAAGAAACCAAGTTTTGTGGTGTCAGCTATTGCCAGTGTCCATCCTCTTCTCTCCAAGGTGATTGGAGCTGACCAGGACATGCAGAAAATGATAGAGAAGTATGAGGAGAACCGGGACCAAATACTGAACCCAGCTAACTGCACTGTTTATAGAAGCCTGTGACTGTTGTATCAGAAAGCATCTACTGGAGTCTGAGTTGGTATTTTTAATATTTAAATATGATGGATATTGATTTTGCACTATGCTTTGTAGAATGCTGTGGACTACATCTCTGAAATGATCAGGTACCAATCAGGAACAGAATGTGAATCAGTTCCCTTTGTGTTTTTAGGTTTTCCATCAGCTTTACTGTGTCAGTTCTGTTCAGCTAAAACATGGCTGTTTTCCTCATTTCCCACTTCACTGCTGCTTCCTAGAAGTAACTTTCCTTTCCCCCCCCAAAGACAACCCTGTTGTTGTAATTTGAAATAAATGGTTTATTACAGTGTCCCTCTGAGGGAGGGCACCTGAGGTTTCTCTTAATGCCCCCCTTGGGGTGAATTGGGCTGAAACAACACCAAAGGGCCAGGGTGTGTATGAGGGAGGTACAGAGCTGTCAGCCTGGCCCTGGGGCCCAGCACATCATCCTGAGAGCGAGCACAGGGCATGGATGGGATCACCAACCATGGAATCACCATGGGATCACCAACCATGGGATCACCCCGGGATAACCAACCATGGGATCACCCCGGGATAACCAACCATGAGCTCACCACGGGCTCACCCCAGGATCACCAACCATGGGATAACCACAGGATAACCAACCATGGGATCACCACAGGCTCACCATGAGATCAGCCCCAGCCAGTCTGGGTTTAGGAGGAGCAGGTTCTGCCTGGCCCACCTCATCTTCCCCCTGGTGGGTGAGGGAAAGGCTGTGGATGTGCCTCCCTGGAGCTCAGCAGAGCCTTTGAGCCCCTCTCCCATGGCATCTCCTGGAGAGGTTGCAGCCCCCGCTTGGCTGGGATGGGCCCAGGGTGGTGGCAATGGGATCCCCTGGGATCCATGCAGGGAACAGCCCTGTTTAGCCTGTTCTGATGGTCTGGAGGAGGGCACTGAGCTGAGCCTCAGCTAACTGGGGTGACAGCCCTTGGGCAGGAATGGGAAGGCTCTGCTGAGGGCCCTGGCCAGGCTGGCTGGGTGTGCCATGGACCCTGCACTGCAGCTCCAGGGCAGGTCTGGGTGTGGCACTCAGTGCTCCAGGCTGGGTCACAGTGCTGGAACAGGCTGGACACAAAAACCCCCGAGGTATTTTCCAACCTCAGTAATTCTGTGATTTTCTAACAACTGAATAGCAGCAGAGAGGAGGGGTGCAGCTCTTTGGGTTTTCTATTCAGGTACAAAAATAACACACAGTATGGAAGGCAAGGGTAAGAGTAGGTAGTGGAGAGATGTCACAGCAACGAGGCTGGATTGTTGGAATTTTGATGTCCACAGTCAGGTCAATGTTCATTCCTGATCCCTTGGGGTGGTGCCCACCAAACAAAAGGTTCAGAGGCTTGCAGACATTCCATGTAGCATGGAACAGCTGTGTCCCTCCCCAGGGAAATGATTCCTCCTGCCAGCTCTGAGGGCCATGCAGAGCCCTCGGTGGAGCCTCCCTGGCAGCAGGCAGGGCACTCTGAGCCTGGGTGGTCTCAGTGCCCCTCTGGCTGTGCCCACTGGTGCTCCTGTGCTGTGTGGGCACCATGGAGCTGAGCAGCAATCTGGCTCCAGGAAGGGGCTGCCCTACCTCTGCTCCTTGGTTCCCATTTCCAGGCACATCCAGAGTGGCCATTGGGTGCCTGAGGCACAGCAAGGCATTGACTCCTTCCTGCCCCAGGCTTTACACACTTCATACCAGAGGGGGGATGTTCATTATTTTATTATTGGAGGCAGCAAATGAAGTGCATCTAGTTAAAGCAGCTTTGTTAGGCAGATCTTGCCAGTTTGAAATGGTGTTTTGCTCTAATCCTACCTGTGGAGAGTCTGGTTCAAGCATGGTTAAAAGAAAGAGGCCATGAAGGTATACAGCTGAGGGAAAAGTAAAAAAGGTAGCTGCAAAGCAGCATTTCTCAGGCTTCATTCTATAAACAATTAGGCTCTCAAGCACCACTTTATAAACAATAAGATTCTCAGACAGTCTTCCCATAACAGGCAAACATTCTGTCCTTGGGCTCTCTGAGAATGCTGGTCCTGTTTTCAATAAACAAACCACAGGTATTGTAAAACAAAAGAAGGGGTTAGAGTTTTCTCTGTGACCTATCGTGAGCTCGAATTTTGCAATATGCATGAAGTTAATTAACACTGTTATATAAAGTGGCTGATTTGGTCAATAAATCGGAGTTGATGCTGATCAGCAACAAGATGGGTCATCTCCCTTCGCTTTCAACACCTGCCCACATGAATGCAACTTCATTGAATTCGGGAAGTTCTTTCTGCTCTACAGGACACCACAATATAGCTTAGTTCTGAAGAGAGCTGTGCACTGGTAGTCCCACTGAATTCAGTGCAAACAAAAATTTTAAAGCCCAGAGTTTTTGTAAGTGATTGCAGAATGGCCCTGAGGGTTTTTTCAGCTGGCTTTTATAGAGAGCTTATTTTATTTGTGTTCATGAGAATCCCAGCCCTGCTCTGGCTGAGCTGAGGAACAGTGAAAATACAGGATGCATGGGACTGTTTGTTATTCTTTTCAAATGTTTCTAAAAACATCCTAGAATTAATTGATTTCTTAACTGGTTTGCATTCTTTGATTTTACTTCTTTTTATAAAGAAAACCACAGTTTTTTTGGGGTTTATGCCATGATCAGTTTATTATGACCTGCAAGTACTTGGAGAGTACAGAAAAGCAGTGGGGGTTTCATTCTTGGCCCTGTCAAAGTGCTGAGTTGCCCTTCACTTGTGCTTTACCCTGTGGGTGCTGCCCTCAGGGGAATCCTCTCCCTGCAGCACACACACTGCTCTCACATTGATTTTCTGGGCAGCTTTAGGGAATGATCCCACAAGTACAGAATGTGTTTTCCCCTACTGGTTTTGGCTGGTTTAGCTGCAACAAGCAAGGCTTCAACAGCACTCTGATCACTTAGTACAGACATTTGTCAGGCACTTTGTGCAGGATAGAAACATTCAGTTATGTGGCTTTTCAACAATATCTGATGGTGCTGCTTCTGTAGGGCTGTGGTTTACCTAAAACCCATTGCACTGGAAGAACCACACCCAGCCAGGGGCTGCAGCTCCTGTCCTGTAATCCCCACCTGATCAGCTGCTTCTTTTCTAAATAATGTAAGTTCTAAATGAAACTTAATAAGTGCACAGAGAGAGCATTTCCTAGTGAAGTACTAAGCTGGTACTAAAGCTTGTGATCCCAGGAATGCCATTCTACTGCTCTGTTGTAAACCTTTAAAATTCCAGCTTAAAAGTAAGATTTTGTATGCTAAATAATTATCTTCTTGCAGCTTCATTGTAGGGGGATACCAACTGTTCTTGATACCTTCTGGTAAACTTTCAAAACTTTTACTTCTCTGAGAGTCCAAAAGAACAATTTCTTTGGAAATGGTTCTATATGTTTGAAGTTCAGTCACCTGCAGTTTGTTCTTAATTCTAATTTCACATGTATGGACATACATTTTGCAGAGCACAGAAAATGTCACTTTATGTTTAGTACAGAGAATCCTACAGCCCCAAGGATGCCACTGGTACTTGTCAGGACACAGCCCTGTGAATGCTCTTTGTTCCTAACACTCATTTCTCACACCACACCCAGAGCTGAAGGCTCTGTCCAGTCCCCTGGTGTTACCTTGAGCAAATTCTGTTTCTCCTACACTGCTGGAATCAGGGGATGACAGAATTTCAACCATTAGTTCTTCAAAAAGCAAATCTTTATGTTTTAGTTCCTAAGGTTTTTCTAGTCTAATCCATGTGTGCTCCTCTGATTTTTTTCTGGGATGAAAGTCAATTATAAACAATTAATACAAAATTAGTTTCAGCTAATATTTTAACTGTACATGAAAGGCATTTTTTACCATTTAGAACTGAGTTCCATATTAGCCACTGTGAAGAAAATTCACTCTACCCCAGCCCAAGCCAGCACACATTTATTTCAGTGCTTCTGAAAAAGCTTCCTGAAGCAGTATTGAAGTGTTTTTCTAGGTAACAAGTGCATCACAGAATCCCAGAATTTTTGGGGTTGGAAGGGAGCTCTGGAGGTCACCCAGTCCAAGCCCTGCCCAGGCAGGGTCACTGTTGTGGTTTGAGAGGAAGTGAGTGGCCACACCAGGTGCCATTATTCAAATCTGAGCACCTATTGGTTTGACCACAGCATCCCAAAAACTCACTTCCTCTCAAACCACGACAGTCACCTCGAGCAGGTGACACAGGAACATGTCCAGGTGGGTTTGCAATGTCCCAGAGAGGGAGATTCCACAGCCTCCCTGGGCATCAGCTCCAGGGCTCTGTCCCCTCCAGGAAAACAAATTCTTCTCATGTTGGGGTGAATTTTGTTGTGTTTTATCTTAGGGCCATTGCTCTCTGTCCTGCTGCTGGGCACCAGGCTCTGACAGCCCCTGGAGGAATTTGTACCAATAGCACTGCAGACTGTGCCCAAGCACAGCAGCAGTGTGCTCTCCTAAAGGAGTTCAGAGCTGTGTGACACAGGCTCTCAGTGCTGGGATCCCAGCTTCCAGCTGACCCAACATCCTGAGCTTTCCACACAGCACTCCCACCTGCAGGACACCCCTGATCCTGCCTCTGCTGCTCACTGGGATCATCTCTCAGCAGATTCTTTTTCCTGCCATTAAAATGGTGAAGAATGAGATTTTTTTCCCTCTTCATTTCAGTGAGATGAGCCAGCCTGCAGAAAAATTCTGTGCAGAATTAAGTGTCAGGAGCAGGGGCAAGGGAAATGGCAGCTGTAGCTGGACCTCTCTCTGCTGGTGGCAGTGAACAGTTCCAGTGCTCAGGGCTTCTCTTGGAAATTGTGGTGGTGGCCACAAAATACTTTGGTAACAAATGGTTATTATATATTGGTTAGATACAAAATCTGTAACACAGGTCAATGCCTCCACAAAACCAAGTGTTTGTTCACAGAGCTGTTTCCCTCTTTAAAGCTAAAGGAATGTTACCAAACTTTCTAAACCTGTTTTCAGCTGAAGTCAGGAGGAAGATTAGCTCAGACACAGCTTCAAAGGAATGCAGAGTTAAGGATTACAGTCCAGTAAGGCATTTCTAAACTTCTTCCAGTTTAGCAGAATTTACCTTGTGCTGGAAGAGTATTCCAGAATAGCTTTGTAAAGGGAAAAAAGAGAAGCAGGATGCCCAGCTGAAGAAACCTGCCTGGCATTAAGAACAGCCAGAAGGAATCTGACTGATGAATTAAATGGATTTAAATTTATAGAAGTTTGCCTGCCCTTTAAAAAGGTGACCATTCAGGTTTCCTTGTGAAAGGAACCATTAGGAATTTGTGTATTCCTAATACACAAA